CATTGATGGACTCAAGTGTGGCAGCTGTAGTGAGGTTGGCCCAGGATCGGACATTGTTTCGTTCTGCTGTGCATGGGGTCGCTATGAGTCGGTTCTGACTTGATGGCACCTGACAACAACAACATCCGTTACTCAGAAACCATATGCAGGAGTATATTGGATTCAACTCAACAGCACCTTACAACATTTACAACCCAAGAGGCCTTGGTGGTACAGTGGTTAAAGTGCTCAGATTTTAACAGAAAAGTCTGCTGTTTGAACCCACCAGTTGCTCCTGGGGAAAAGATGTGGCAGTCTTCTTACAGATTTACAGCCTTGGGAACCTTATGGGCAGTTAAACTCATGGAGTCATTATAAGCTGGAGTGAGTTAGTGGCGGTGGGGTTTTGTTGTTTTTTTGGTATTATTAACAACACTATTATTTTCAGAAGTTGTTTAAAATCTGTTAGGGCTAATATCCCTTTATTACTTCTCGTGTTCATAATTTCCCTATCTTTTAAAAATTGGTTGTTTTTCCTTATGACCTTTTGAATCAGTTTGTCTAGGTCTAGAAAAAGTCTGGTGGAATTTTTATTAGGATCATATAACATTTACAAGTAATTTAATAAGGATTGTTATTTTTTATGTTGTTGAGTTTTCCTCTTTAAGATCATAACTTTTCGTTTTGTCTGTTTTTGTTCCCTTAGAAACCTATTTTTAGATTTTCCTCAAATTAACTCTGTATGTTTCTCTCGTTAAATTGGCATTAAAACCATTATTGCTTTAGAAAATGATTTCTTCTCTTTTACTCTGTTATCCACCTGGTTTTGTTTATGTTTATGAAGACTAATGATTTCTATGAAATAGCTATGTTAATAGTTATTTCTTCTACTTTGCAGGATTATGATAGCTGATTTACTTGGATATATTCCAGGTATACAATCCTATCAAATATAAATAGAGATTATTTTACTTCCTTAAGTGATTTATGTGCTCCTAATATCTATCTTTTGCCTAATAGGCCTTCAGTGTACTGTTAACAGAAAGTAGGTGGTGATACTGGAAAGCCTATCTTGTTGCAGAATTTAGCAGCAGTGCCTTTCATGCCTTTTCATTGGGGTTGTGATTACTGTATAGAAAATCATATTAAGGAAGTACTCATCAGTTCCTACTTTTTTGAGACTTTAAAAAAAATAAGGGTAAATTGAATTTGATTGAATGCCTTTCATTCCATAAACATTTACATGCTAGCCTTTCTTTGATCAATAGGCAGAGGTTTTTAGACCAAGCAGGTGATGTCGATGTGGATTACAAATGTAAGGGCAAGTGTATTTGTGTCTCAGCCTTAAAGTGAGGGTATAGCATTTGGGGTTTCATGTTAAGGTGGGGAAGGTCTTCTCTTTTATCTTGGACAGGTCCTGTACTTTGATCTCACTGTTTATGTCAGGTCAGAAGGTGTTTCTGGGTTTCTATTTACCACACTGTGTTCCAGCTTTGTCTCCAATTTTTACCCCCTATCAATTCCTTATTATTTTCCACCTCTTGGATGCTTAGGGTATTTACCAAATATTTTGTCCATCATTTTCAGTTAGTGTTGAATAGGGGCTAGCCATAGCCTGCCATTATTGGAAATGGGAGTTTGTTTTACTCAGCTTCATTTTCCACACTAATGAGAGTTCTATTACTCAAGTATAAAGCTGCCTATGTAATTTGCTGCTTAAAACAATTTTTTTGTAAGTTTTATTATTTATTCTTTCCTACTGCTGTTCAGAGTGTGT